CCCTTTTCTCAGTTTCATCACTTGTTCCTTCACTGCTGTTTTCCTCCTGATGTGGTGGTGGAGCAGTTTTGGTTGGGTTTCCTCGCTGCTTTTTACTCGTTGCTTTACTCGCGATGTCATCTTCATATTGTCTCTCTGCTTCTCTCCTCACTCTGTGGTACTCATTTCTGGCCCTCTGGTAGCTCTCCCTGCTCTCTGGTGTTCTGTTATTCCTGTAGTTTCTCCATGTTCTTGTATTCAATTGCTTCGCTACCGTACATTACTGACTCAACCATGGATTCTTCTGTTGCTTTTCATTTTTCTCCTTTTGGGCCGGGATAAACCTGTCTGCAGCTTCCTGGCACTTCTGGGTGACATAATTCATCATATCCTGTACAGTCTTTTCTCTGAGTTCTGTTTCCCATGGTATTCCCATTAGGAAGTTCCAATCGCATCCTTGGATAGGTTATCCCTACCTCTACCAGATACTAAAATGTCAATACACTGTGGTCACTCATTCCTATGGGGACTTCAAATTTGACTTCCCTTATTTCTGACTCATTCAAGGTGAATATGAGGTCGAGTCTAGCTGGTTCATCATTCCCTCTCATTCTTGTGGGTCCCTTGACATGTTGGCTCAGAAAGTTCCTTGTTGCCACTTCCAAGAGTTTAGCTCTCCATGTGGGTCCCCATTCTCCCAGTCTATCTTTCCATGGTTGAAATCGCCCATGATTAAGAGTCTGGATCCATTCCTGCAGGCAACTGAAGCTGCTCTCTCTATTATATTATTGGTAGCTATGTTGTTTCTGTCAAACTCCTGTCTGGGTCTTCTGTCATTTAACGGAGGGTTGTAAATGACTGCCACTATTTTCTTAGGTGCACCCATTGTCATAGTTCCTGTTACATAGTCTCTGAATCCGTCGCAGCCCAGAATTTCAATCTCTTCAAAACTCCAGTCCTTCCTTATCAGCAGGGCAACTCCTCCTCCTCTTCTCCCTTTCCTCTCTTTCTTTACCATATAGTACTCCTTTGGAAACACAGCGTTTGTTATGACTCCTAACAATTTTGTTTCTGTGAGTCCTATTACATCTGCGTTTTCTTCCTGACAGTTCATTTGTTTTATTGGTAATCCCAATAATATGTGCGTGTGTAGGTGTGTGTGTGTGCGTATGCGTGCGTGCATGCACATGCATGTGTGTGTGTTATACATCCTAGTGTACACAATATAATTTCCTGGTGTATATATTGCTAAAAATATACTTTAGTGTTGAACTGTGTGAATACAGGCTTAGATTATCCCTGCATGTTGGCTCGGGAAGCTGGCGCGGGTGACTATGAAAAACACCCCCAAACTAACAAACGAACTTCTTCCCCCGGTGGTGGATAGGACCTTCATCGGACGGGCTGCTCGCTGTTTTGCGGGGAGGAGGCCGAGGACAACCAGGCCATGCTGAAGCGGGTGTTGCTGGCCTTCGCGCGCTGGAACAAGGGCGTCGGCTACTGTCAGGGGTTCAACATGTTGGCCGCCATCATCCTCGAGGTCATGGAGCGACAGGAGTCCGACGCCCTCAAGGTGAGTGGTGCCGCGTGTTGTTAGGTCTCTCTCTCTCTCTCTCTCTCTCTCTCTCTCTCTCTCTCTCTCTCTCTCTCTCTCCATCAGTGTTCTATATTTACCACGTATAGAATCTCAGTCTTGGCAGTTTTCCCCAGGCGTCTCGAGGCTTTGGCCAGTCTCAGGAATATTATTATCTCCTCTCCTGTCACAGTCTAGACAGTCGTGGCATCCTCAGCTGCTTTGGTAAAGTGTTATTTTTACTCCTATTGTTATATTTTACTTCCTTTGAAGTTTTACGAGCAAAAAACTGCTCTTTTTCTGAAGATTCTTTAACATTGCTGGCATTATATTTTGTTATTGAATGTTATTGTCTTATTATGCATCTATTTACAACATTTATGCATTGTCAAGGTGGCTGTTTTGGTCGCCATGCTGGGGCTAAAAATTGGCCTCCATAATTTTGGGAAATTTGAGGTTGTTAAGCGCGTGTGAATGTTTGTGTTGGTACAGAGGGAACATGTGTCTGCCTGTCCCAAAGTTGAGCTGGCTCTGTGCCACAGGGCATCCGGCAGGAGGTCGCTCTACCTCTGGAGCATAGATAACTGGCTGGCTTGTATGCTTTCATGCTCCGTGATGTTCTCTGGAGCATGCCGAAGCATTCTGGAGTGATGTATATATAATATATATATGATATGAGTTAAATATTCTTCGTTAATTTAAGAATTTTGGGTCATCAAATATTCCAATATCCCCACAGACTATTTCCCCCTCACTGGTGTCGTCTTTCCCCTCACCAGGTGATGATCTACCTGATCGAGGGGGTGCTGCCCGAGTCCTACTTCGCCAACAACCTTCGGGGATTGAGCGTGGACATGGCTGTCTTCCGCGACCTCCTCCGTCTGCGTCTCCCGCAACTCTCCCGTCACCTGGAGCATCTTCAACACGACGCCGCCGACCTCGCTACAGGTGAGGGGGTTAAGGGACGGGGAGGGGGAGAGGTGAGGGAGGACGGACAGGTATGACAGGGAAATGAAGTGGTAAATTGACGGTGAAAATAGACTTAGAAAAGATAAGAAAGAGACAGGGGTTATTGAGGAATCCAGACGGCAGGTACCAGGCCTGTCTTGGCCAGTTTCTTGAACCACTTGTACCTTATATAGCACATTAAACTGGTAGTTATCCTTGTACAAACACGGAGAATGAGACTGTTGACATAACACTTGTTCGCTTATACACGTAAAGTATTCTTAAACAAGAAGTGGGATTGACGACGCTGGTCGTAACCGGCTCTTAAACTGACACACTCTAACCCAGCTGAGAGGAAGCTGAGACACTCTAGCCCAGCTGAGAGGAAACTGAGACACTCTACCCCAGCTGAGAGGAAGCTGAGACACTCTTCCCCAGCTGAGAGGAAACTGAGACACACTACCCCAGCTGAGAGGAGGCTGGGACACTACCCCAGCTGAGAGGAAACTGAGACACACTACCCCAGCTGAGAGGAAGCTGAGACACTCTACCCCAGCTGAGAGGAAGCTGAGACACTCTACCCCAGCTGAGAGGAAGCTGAGACACTCTACCCCAGCTGAGAGGAAACTGAGACACACTACCCCAGCTGAGAGGAGGCTGGGACACTACCCCAGCTGAGAGGAAACTGAGACACACTACCCCAGCTGAGAGGAAGCTGAGACACTCTACCCCAGCTGAGAGGAAGCTGAGACACTCTACCCCAGCTGAGAGGAAGCTGAGACACTCTACCCGAGCTGAGAGGAAACTGAGACACACTACCCCAGCTGAGAGGAGGCTGGGACACTACCCCAGCTGAGAGGAAACTGAGACACACTACCCCAGCTGAGAGGAAGCTGAGACACTCTACCCCAGCTGAGAGGAAGCTGAGACACTCTACCCCAGCTGAGAGGAAACTGAGACACACTACCCCAGCTGAGAGGAGGCTGGGACACTACCCCAGCTGAGAGGAAACTGAGACACTCTACCCCAGCTGAGAGGAAACTGAGACACTCTACCCCAGCTGAGAGGAAACTGAGACACTCTACCCCAGCTGACAGGAAGCTGGGACACTCTTCTCCAGCTGAGAGGAAACTGAGACACACTACCCCAGCTGAGAGGAGGCTGGGACACTACCCCAGCTGAGAGGAAACTGAGACACACTACCCCAGCTGAGAGGAAGCTGAGACACACTACCCCAGCTGAGATACTCTACCCCAGCTGACAGGAAGCTGGGACATTCTTCCCGAGCTGAGAGGAAACTGAGACACACTACCCCAGCTGAGATACTCTACCCCAGCTGACAGGAAGCTGGGACACTCTTCCCCAGCTGAGAGGAAGCTGAGACACTCTACCCCAGCTGAGAGGAAGCTGAGACACTCTACCCCAGCTGAGAGAAAGCTGAGACACACTACCCCAGCTGAGAGGAAACTGAGACACTCTACCCCAGCTGAGAGAAAGCTGAGACACTCTACCCCAGCTGAGAGGAAACTGAGACACTCTACCCCAGCTGAGAGGAAACTGAGACACTCTACCCCAGCTGAGAGAAAGCTGAGACACACTACCCCAGCTGAGAGGAAACTGAGACACTCTACCCCAGCTGAGAGAAAATTGAGACACTCTACCCCAGCTGAGAGAAAATTGAGACACACTACCCCAGCTGAGAGAAAGCTGAGACACTCTACCCCAGCTGAGAGGAAACTGAGACACTCTACCCCAGCTGAGAGAAAATTGAGACACTCTACCCCAGCTGAGAGGAAACTGAGACACTCTACCCCAGCTGAGAGAAAATTGAGACACTCTACCCCAGCTGAGAGAAAGCTGAGACACTCTACCCCAGCTGAGAGGAAACTGAGACACTCTACCCCAGCTGAGAGAAAATTGAGACACACTACCCCAGCTGAGAGAAAGCTGAGACACTCTACCCCAGCTGAGAGGAAACTGAGACACTCTACCCCAGCTGAGAGGAAACTGAGACACTCTACCCCAGCTGAAAGAAAATTGAGACACTCTACCCCAGCTGAGAGAAAATTGAGACACACTAACCCAGCTGAGAGGAAGCTGAGACACTCTACCCCAGCTGAGAGGAAGCTGAGACACTCTACCCCAGCTGAGAGAAAGCTGAGACACTCTACCCCAGCTGAGAGGAAACTGAGACACTCTACCCCAGCTGAGAGAAAGCTGAGACACTCTACCCCAGCTGAGAGGAAACTGAGACACTCTACCCCAGGGAGAGAAAATTGAGACACTCTACCCCAGCTGAGAGAAAATTGAGACACTCTACCCCAGCTGAGAGAAAGCTGAGACACTCTACCCCAGCTGAGAGGAAACTGAGACACTCTACCCCAGCTGAGAGAAAATTGAGACACTCTACCCCAGCTGAGAGGAAACTGAGACACTCTACCCCAGCTGAGAGAAAATTGAGACACACTACCCCAGCTGAGAGAAAGCTGAGACACTCTACCCCAGCTGAGAGGAAACTGAGACACTCTACCCCAGCTGAGAGGAAACTGAGACACTCTACCCCAGCTGAGAGGAAGCTGAGACACTCTACCCCAGCTGAGAGGAAGCTGAGACACTCTACCCCAGCTGAGAGAAAGCTGAGACACTCTACCCCAGCTGAGAGGAAACTGAGACACTCTACCCCAGCTGAGAGGAAACTGAGACACTCTACCCCAGCTGAGAGGAAATTGAATCTTCTTAAGTAGCATTACACAGAAACTGCTATAAATCGTATTGCAGGATCCAGAGGCTTCATAACACCGGACCTGTAATATAGACATGGGATGGCTTCATTGTTTCAAGCGTAGGTTAGACATATATATATAAATGACTTTAGATGGAGATATAAATAGGAGCTACCTTATATGGGCCAATAGGCCTTCTGCACTATACTCCTAAGCTCTTCTTAAGACTAAAACCAGAATTTCCTTCCAGTTTTTCCTAAGGTTTTCTTGTGTGTAAATGATGGTAACTTTTGTAGTGCGACGTCGTACAGATTATAAACATATAATGTTAACGTCTCATCATATTAAATCTGTCTTATTAAAAAAAAGAGATTCGTTGGGTGGTAATTTGACAGACTGCTCTTAATTAATATTCACTGTGCATAATGGCCAGCCCCAACAGGTTCATTGATCAGGGGGGTCGTGGTGCCGGGCCAACTTGAGGGGTGATCTAGTGTGTGTTCTCACATTATCTTACATGTTAGAGCGGCTCTGAGCTGTTGCTGTTGTTGTCATTTTGCATGTTTGTCTCATTGTTTGTATGTACATTTGTTTCCTTGTTTGTCTTGCAGAAATAAAGACCAAAATGGTCCAACATTTTGGCAGAGGATCTTGTTGAAATAAAAGAAATACACATTATATATATATATATATATATATATATATATATATATATATATATATATATATATATATATATGGTGAGTCCATATGCATAATAAAGTATCTAGAGCATGCGACACAACAGGAAATGCAGAAGAGAACCAGTTAAGAGTAGTGGTGCCATGGGGGACATCAGTCTCTCTCTCTCTCTCTCTCTCTCTCTCTCTCTCTCTCTCTCTCTCTCTCTCTCTCTCTCTCTCTCTCTCTCTCTCTCTCTCTCTCTCCTCTCTCTCCTCTCTCTATTTCTCTCTCCTCCTCTCTCTCTCTCTCTCTCCTCTCCCTCTCCCTCTCCCTCTCTCTCTCTCTCTCTCTCTCTCTCTCTCTCTCTCCTCTCTCTCTCTCTCTCTCTCTCTCTCTCTCTCTCTCTCTCTCTCTCTCTCTCTCTCTCTCTCTCTCTCTGGCTCTGGTTCTTCAACCTCCTTCCATTAAGTGTACACAAGTGGCAATTTTCAAGAGGAAATTGAACAAGTTCCCTTAGCAAGTGCCAGATCAACCAGATTGTGAGAGGCACGTGGGACGCTGTAAGTAATAACCTGATCGATCAAGATGTTACCAGACAAGCCTGTCTCTTCCTGTCATACCTGGGGAGTAGAACTCTCGAAACCGACTACAGGTAAACTGGGTCCAGGTACCACTTCCTCTAGTACTCTCGCCGGTTTGTTGACGTCCCGCCCGTCTCCCTCTCTCCCATTTTCTTTAGCAAGGAAGATGAAAAGACACAGGCGAGGGAAAACGTTTATAGATGTAGAATATAGAGTGAGTTATGACAGCTGGCGGGCTGTCCACCCTGCTGACACGGTGTTATGACAGCTGGCGGGCTGTCCGCCCTGCTGACACGGTGTTATGACAGCTGGCGGGCTGTCCGCCCTGCTGACACGGTGTTATGACAGCTGGCGGGCTGTCCGCCCTGCTGACACGGTGTTATGACAGCTGGCGGGCTGTCCGCCCTGCTGACACGGTGTTATGACAGCTGGCGGGCTGTCCGCCCTGCTGACACGGTGTTATGACAGCTGGCGGGCTGTCTGCCCTGCTGACACGGTGTTATGACAGCTGGCGGGCTGTCCGCCCTGCTGACACGGTGTTATGACAGCTGGCGGGCTGTCCGCCCTGCTGACACGGTGTTATGACAGCTGGCGGGCTGTCCGCCCTGCTGACACGGTGTTATGACAGCTGGCGGGCTGTCTGCCCTGCTGACACGGTGTTATGACAGCTGGCGGGCTGTCCGCCCTGCTGACACGGTGTTATATGACAGCTGGCGGGCTGTCCGCCCTGCTGACACGGTGTTATATGACAGCTGGCGGGCTGTCCGCCCTGCTGACACGATGTTATGACAGCTGGCGGGCTGTCCGCCCTGCTGACACGATGTTATGACAGCTGGCGGGCTGTCCGCCCTGCTGACACGATGTTATGACAGCTGGCGGGCTGTCCGCCCTGCTGATACGATGTTATGACAGCTGGCGGGCTGTCCGCCCTGCTGACACGATGTTATGACAGCTGTCGGGCTGTCTGCCCTGTTGACACGATGTTATGACAGCTGGCGGGCTGTCCGCCCTGCTGACACGATGTTATGACAGC